ACACACACACACACACACACACACACACACACACACACACACACACTTGTCGTTTCTCCACCTTCTGTCTCTCCTGATTGAAACTCTTAGTTTGGTTTGTTTCAGCGCTGCGTTCAGCTGCGCAGGTGAAGTTGATGAGCAGAATCCAGAGCTCAGATTATCACAAGAATGAAGTTAACACACACACACACACACACCCTAACCCTTTCATGTCTGCAAGCTCCATGGTGCCAGCCACACACATTAAGGACATCGTGGACGTGCAGGGAAGACAGTCCACTTGAAGGGAAGTCCTGTGTCCCAGAGTCACGTGTTTCCTGCTCCGGTCATTCAGCGGAGGCTCCGGCTGAGGCCGTGGAGGACAGGTGTCCTCCTTTCAGTCGGGCTGAATGCACCACATGCTGGCAGACTGTCTCTGCATCGTCTCGAGTGCACGGCTCGAAGTCAGACCTCCCATTCAGGCGGCCGACATGTCACCTTTGTACGTGGCAGCTCTGACGCTGATCAAGTCGATCCTTTGAATTGTGAGAACATTTCTGTGGGAATGATGCAGCCGGACCATGGTGCATTCAAGGACTTGAACTGCTTTATCATTTAGCTGAGAAGTGTTTGCTCCTCATTCCTCTAAGTGATGGCTGCGCCACAGTTTGGTGCACAAAGCTCCAGTGAAACACAGAGATGTTCTTTACTACCCCCCATCATCCCACTGCACCACCGTGACACGTGTTTGAACAGTCCTTTAACGTCTCCTCCTGCTCGCCCCGCAGTGTGACGATGGAGAACGTGTCCCGGTTCAAAGGACAGGAATACTGTCTTCACCCCAAACTGCAGAGCACAAAGAACCTCGTCAAATGGTTTCGCATCTGGAAGGACAAGCACAGGTACCTACACGTGCACGGACAGGACTCAAGTAAAATAGCTTTTCAGAGGTTGGACATGGTTTAATAAATAAAACAACTGTTTGACAGACTGATTACAGAATGCCTAGCAAGAATTTATTAACATTTATAGCTACAGTGTTTGTTGAACATAGCAGCCGTTGAAATGCACAAATGAAACGATTAAAGTGTGCAGGAAGTAAAACGCTGTCAGGAACGAGTCCTTCTTTTTGTCCACAAGAAGAAGGAAAGCTCTGCCGCTGCAGCTGGTGAGCATGAAGGAGGTGAACGCAGCTGCATCAGACCTTACGTCTGGTGATGCTGCTCGTTCACGTCAGACAGCACAAACCTGCTGCAGCTCGTTGGGCTCACGCTCAGCGTGCGCTGATTCATTCATGGTGAGTAAAGCACACAGAGGACAAGCTAACGGTCTGCTTCATTCTTCAGGGTGTACGAAGCCTAAACTCACGTCTCCTCCGACCACACGGAGCGAGTGACACCAACCTTCAACAAGTTCTCCGGGACTGCTTTGTGAAAGACACGATGGTCTTCTTCAGCCTGACAGAGCGCAGCGACAGCTGCTTGTAGTTTGTAGAGAACCTGGTGGACTCGCTCCCATCGGTCGAGCCACGTCACACACTCTTCTCCCGTCCACCTGGAGGAGGAAGACCACCACCTGTATTCAGTTAGAGCCATGGGATCAGACCTCCACCTGGAGGAGGAACCAAACATCCATCCGTTCAACACGCAGGTCTCCTGCTTTAGAGTCTGCTTCTGTTCACAGTCAGCTGTTTGTCGACTCGTCAGATGTGCACGGCTTCGGTCAACAGGTAGAACATTCAAATACAACTTTGGTGTCGATTCCCTGCAGAGCACGGCGTGTTCAAGACGGTTACTACGTTTGTAAAGAAGAACTCCATGTTTGTTTTCACTGTGTGAACATCTTCAGATGACGTGTCGTCAACCACATGTTTCTGTCATGCATTCAACCATCACATTCTTCACAGAGGTGAACATTTCCAACCAAACTTCAGAGAAGAGCAGTTTCTGGTCATGGCTCTTGTTTTCAGAGGCAGATTGTCAGAACGACATGTGGCTGAATGTGTGACGTGTTTGTGACCAATTAAACAACCATTACTGCTCCTTCTACTCCTTTATCAAAGTGTTTCCACACAACTGGAGCTCAGGAGCTCAAAGAAACGATCAGAGTTTTGCCACATGAATGAAACTTGTTTTTATGACGTGTATGATTTGTTCTTGTAGAATGAAATCCGTTAATAAAACCCGACTCGTCTTTGAGGCTGGGTCTTGGTTGGTGAGCTGCTGGAAAATAAATGTCATCATTGTGTGTAAAACAGATGTTTATTACATTAAAGGTGCAGAAACCACTTCCCCTCTGCAACACAGAGCTGTGCAGGATAAAGACTGATTTAATTTAGGATGACTCTTATCTCATTTATTGTTTCACATCTTCTGTTTTTCTCCTGTAAATTTGTGTTCATCTTTAGTTTTTGACACCAGGGTGTTGCCTGCAAACATTGGTGTCCATAAACCAACAAAACATCTCATTTTCATAACGACTCCAGTTTTATAACTTCCATTTAAATAATGTCATGCGTATACACTGACTAATACAATGTTAAGTGGACAATAAAACCCACAAGTATAAAAGTATAAAATGTGGCGTCTCCTTCAAAAACTTTGACCAACAGCGATGCCAGCAGGTGGCGCCATATACCACACGTGTAAGAAATGACGTCATGATTCAATCTTTATGAAAATGTTAATGAGCTGTGATGTGTACAAATGATGCTAGAAAATGAAAGAAAATACAAACAAATCTACAAATCAAAGCCTGTATTGTATTTATTGAAGTTCCACGAGCATGAACCTGTAAAAAGTACTTTAACATAAAACATACTTCGATATAAAGTGTCGTGTCTGCCTCAAGCTGCACATTTGATGTTTTACACTACATAAATATGATCAGTCCCTTCTCACTTGCTGTGAAGAATTGTCACTTTGAGGATGTTAATTATTCATCGCCTCAGTATCTCCATGACAACTGTTTGCTGTTCAAGACAGCAGATTTCAGTTCAGGTTGTTTCTACAGCTCCAAGTCTCAGCAGAACTCATCTCTGGGCTGAACAAACATTCACATATATAAAAACAAGTTAAGAGATGAGGAGAATTATCAGGATGTGAGTGAAGAAGAGCTCAAAGCATAAAAATGGATACAATAACACAAAAACAAAATGCATTCTGCACATGGTTATTTTAGATAGTATAGTCAGTTTCACTGTGTCAAAATAAAGTAAGCATCAAAATAAAGCTGAGAAATAAAACTCCATCCCTTCCAGTGTAATTAATCATTGATTTAAATAAAAGCTTGTAAGAGAAAAGAATATACTTTAAGAGCAGAATGAAATAAAGTGTGAGTTGTAATGTGGAGTTGTGAAAACTGCTCTAAAGTGTAAAAAATAAAGCAAATCTAATTTATTTCCCGCGCCCTGCCTGCTGCTGTCTGCAAGATGCCATCAATTTTTCTGAGCAGACCGCTGCAACAAGCTAACGGGAAAATCGAGGGGAGGCAGAGTATGCATATGTTGGTAAAAGTTGGTGCACAAAAGAAAGTCAAATCTTGGATCCAGAACAGTGGCCCCATACCGAGAGGTTGTTTTGAACGAACAGACTGGGAGGTCTTCAGAGAAGCTGCTGAAAAGGTGTGTGTGGGTGTTGGGGGGCTGGAACAATATGCATCCTCAGTTCTGGGGTACATTAGTAAATGTACCTATGACATCTCCACCATAAGAAATGTTAAGTTACTCGAACAGAAAACCTTGGTTGAATGCAGAGGTGTGCACCCTGCTGGAAGCCAGGAACACTGCCTTCAGGTCTGGAAGCTCAGAGGAGCTGAGAAGGACAAGGAAAGAGCTGGATGCTGGTATTAAGAGGGCCAAGGCCACATATGCACAGAGGATCGAGGGTCAGTTCATCTCACAAGACCCTCGGAGCATGTGGAGGGACATTAAGTGCATAATAGATTATAAAGGAAGGAGTGAACAATGGCCTAAAGACCCATCACTGCCTGACAGTTCTCATATGCCGGAAGACTGCCACCATCATCCCAGTCCCAAAGAGCTCTACAGTGACTGGTCTGAATCACTACTGGCCAGTGGCCCTCACCCTGATAGTCGCTAAATGCTTTGAAAAACTGGTCATGACTCACATCAGAACAACCATCAACATCATCGAGGACCCTCATCAGTATGCATACCGTGAGAACCGATCAACAGAGGATGCCATCTCCTCTGTGGTCCACTCTGCTCTCACCCACCTGGAGCAGAAAAACTCTTACGTCTGATCTTTGTGGACTTCATGTCTGCCTTCAACTCCATGATCCTCCAAACCCTGATGGGCAAATTACTCACACTAGGACTAAGCCCCTCCATTTGCAACTAGGTCCTAGACTTCTTAACAAACAGACCACAGTTAGTGAGGATCCACAACTTCTCTTCCTCCACCATGGCCCTTAGCACTGGCTCTCCTCAGGGGTATGTGTTAAGCCCCCTCCTGTTTACTCTGCTCACGTATGATTGTGCAGCTACCCATCCAGGCTGTCACATTGTAAAGTTTGCAGATGATACAGCGGTGGTGGGATGCATCACAAACAATGATGAGTCCAGCTACAGGCAAGAGGTGGAACACCTGGAGAGCTGGTGCAGGAAGAATAACCTTCACATCAATGTGAAGAAGACAATCAATCAACTTTATTTCTATAGCACATTTTAAAAACTGCAGGGGTAGCCAAAGTGCTGTACAATTAGACAGAAAGACAAATTAATTAAGACAATAAAAACATGCAAAGCATACACAAAGAAACATAAAAACGTACACATACCAGTTTCACGGCAGGCATGTTTTAAGATGCCATGAAAGATAAGATCATGTGATCATGATAATTTTGGGCATTTCGGAACCGAGTGGACCAACACAGACTCAAGGCAGATGTCATTAAGTTCTGCCTGTCCTCAAAACAACTGTGTGTTTATCTGAATTTGGTTCCCTTGGCTGGTCTTGAAGGCCATCTTATCTGAATTCTCCTGGAGAACATGTGATCTGACGCTCACCACCCCCTCCCTGAAGAATTTCCAACTGATAACCAGATGAACCAGCTGAATAAACTTTGTGTCATCATTTCAGGACTCTTGGATTCTCATAGATGTTATCCTTGTCCATTCCTCGACATACCTCGAGAATGTTTATGGATCTCACCGGAGGACATTGACTGACTACAGTGACCTCGAGAGCATCTATAAGCGTTGTTGACCGCTCTCGTCTCCGATTGCAGAATGTCTACTTAAATATGTGCTTGTTTGTGTGAGTTTTTTTTTAATATTAGAGGGTTTTTTTCTCAGGCAAGAAAAAAAAAGTCTGATAGGATTTTTTTTTGCCTCCAACTACTACGTGTGTCCAGTTAACCACTGTTTTTTTGTCTGTCGAAACAAGTCTCACTTGTAAATGAGTCTTTGAGGCTCATTGTGATTTATCTATTTAAATAAAGGTTGAATTAATGAAAAAAACACCATTGTGACTTTGTGAATTTGTAATTGAAAAAGTGGCAAACACCCGGGCACTCATTTCTCCACCAGCTCATGATCTGTCCATCCCATCTCAGTGTGTGGCTGTGTTTGACCACTTTGAGCCCATCTCTCTGTCCTCTCTGGAGCAGGTAATGTGCAGCATGAAGCCATCTGGTTCCCCCTTTGATGTGGTCCCCCCTCGACTGCTAAAGGAAGTTTTTCCTACCCTGGGTCCTTTTATCCTCGCTATTCTGAATAGCAGTTTATCCTCAGGTGTGGTGCCAAAGACTTTTAAACATGCTGCTGTCCAGCCCCTCCTGAAAAAACCTAACCTTGACCCCTCAGTCATGTCCAACTTCCAGCCTGTCTCCAGACTCCCATTCACCTCTAAACTACTGGAAAAAATTGTGGAGTCTCAGTTGAAACAGTTTTTGGGGGATCACGCTATCCTAAAGTTATTCCAATCTGGCTTCAAATCTCTCCATAGCACTGAAACTGCTCTACTGAAGGTTTTTAACGACATTTTCATTTCCACAGACGCAGGTGATTCTGTGCTGTTGGTCCTATTGGACCTTACATCTGCTTTTGACACCATCGACCACAACATCCTCATTTCTAGACTGGAGCAGTGGGTGGGCATCACAGGGTCAGCCCTTAAATGGTTTGGGTCCTACCTCTCTGACAGAACCTTCTGTGTCAATATCAAAGATTTTAGTTCGGCATCGACCGCACTCCAGTGGGGGGTACCGCAGGGGTCCATCCTCGGTCCCCTTCTCTTTTCTTTATACCTGCTGCCACTAGGTGCTATCTTCCGCAAACACGACATACCCTTTCATTTCTACGCCGATGATTGCCAAATTTACTTCCCCCTGAGGCACACGCTCTATTCAGCCTCTTCTTGACTGCCTGGCTGACATCTGGGACTGGATGGCTTTAAACTTCTTAAGCTTCAATGAGAAGAAGTCTGAAGTCATGCTGTTCCATCCCAGTGGCTCACTCATGAACCATGACATTGACCTTTTCTCTCTAGCCCCGCTAGAGAAACAAAAGGTGACTAATCTGGGGGTGATAATGGACCCGTCCTTAAAACTCAACAGTCACGTAAACATGATGGTCAAATCCTGTTTTTTTCAGCTGAGACGGCTGTCTAAGCTGAAGCCTATACTCTCCAAAAAGAACCTCAAGACAGTGATCCACGCCTTCATAACATCTAGGCTTGATTACTGCAATTCACTTCTGTTTGGAATCAGTCAGTCCTCCATTGCTCGTCTACAACTGGTCCAAAATGCTGCAGCCCGATTTTTAACTGGTACAGGCTATAGAGAGCACATCACGCCAGTTTTGGCCTCCCTGCACTGGCTACTCATTCACCTTCGGATCCATTTCAAAATTCTCATGTATGTTTTTAAATCACTGAACAGTTCCGCCCCATCCTATCTCACTGATCTTCTGCAGCCATATGTCCCACCGCGCTCTCTGAGGTCAGCAGACCAGATGCTTCTCTCAGTCCCAGAAACCCGTCGTAAGCTCAGGGGTGACAGGGCTTTCTCTGTCGCAGGTCCACGACTGTGGAATGAGTTGCCACTGAGTGTCCGGCAGGCTCCCACACTCTCAGTCTTTAAGTCTCGCTTGAAGACCCACTTCTATTCTCTTGCCTTTAACACGTTGTGATTTGTTTTGGTCCGGTCTGTTCTCTACTCTGTTGGCCATTTTAGTTAGCTTCTGCTGCTATTTGAATCTGTATTTCTATTTTATGTTTTCCTGTCCGCTGTGCATGTTTGGTTCTTTTGTACAGCACTTTGGTTGGCCTTGTTGCTGTTTTAAGTGCTATATAAATAAATTGGTATGGTAATTCTGTAACAGTTATCCATCCATCCATCCATTTTCTTCCGCTTATCCCGGGTCGGGTCGCAGGGGTAGCAGCCTAAGTAGGCAGGCTAAGTAGACTTCCCTCTCCCCAGCCACTTGGGCCAGCTCTTCCGGGGGAATCCCGAGGCGTTCCCAGGCCAGCCGAGAAACGTAGTCCCTCCAGTGTGTCCTGGGTCTTTCTCTGGGCCTCCTTCCGGTGGGACGTGTACGGAACACCTCACCAGGGAGGCGTCCAGGAGGCATCCTAAACAGATGCCCAAGGATTCTGTGTTTAATTGTATTTAATTCTGTAACAGTTATTTTGAAGATAATTAAATAGGAGTCTGAACACCCCGAAAAATTATTTTTACTCATAAAGATGTTAAATTAGACATTTGGTATTTTCTTAGCCTCAGTTTTAAGAATCTCGTAATGAGAGCAAACATTTGATTATATGTTACAAAGGTGTTCCCAAAAGGCGGGGTCATTATTTGGCAGCTGTCGCTGTGTTCACAGGAGAAGTGGGCGGGGCCAGTATTTGGCAGGTTTGTCCCTTGAGGGTGTGTGCGCGCGCGAGCCTGCCTCAGCTACGACTTGCAAACGGCCGTTCGAGCCAGTCTGACCGAGGCAGAAGAAAAAGCAGGAACCACAACTATTCCGAGTCTTTGCAATGTTCCCGACGATATTCCGTCTTCTTTGATCCATCGACGCTGCCGTGTCCGTGGACTTCAGAGAGCGGAGCTGAAATTAATGCATCCAGCCTCGAGTCCCTGTCGGTTCTGACCCGGTAAGATCCCGGCAGCGACTGTTAGCTCCCGCTGCTAGCAGCTTCCGCTTCTCGGCATCTTCGACGCTAGCTGCTAGCAGGCTAGGCTAACAGGCGCTGTGTCCTCATTCTGCTCCAGGCTCTGGTGTAATCCGCTTGTTCGTCCTTCTGTCCGGGTCTGTCTGTAAATGCTGACGCTGATGTGCGCAGTAATTTAAAAACGTATTTTCTTTATTTGTGCTCAGAGCTAGCAACTAGCGGCTATCATCATCTGGGGCTCCTCCGCCGGCAGTAAAACTGTCACTTGGCATTAATTATCCTCATTTAATCACAAGTCGGACAACATCTTTAATTGCTCGTGTTAGTGCCAAGAGTCTGAAAGATGACGAGCCTCGCCTGGTTCTGACCTCAAAACAAACTCGAGAATCAAGATTCGGGTCTGGTTCTGACCCACGGAGTTCTCCTGACCTGTCCTTGGTTCGGTTTTTACTGCTGGTGCCTCATTCTGTGCTGGAATGTTGTTGTTGTTGTTGTTGTTGTTGTTGTTGTTGTTGTTGTTGTTGTTGTTGT